AATCAAATGTTGAAAATTTTAATGTTGAATATTGAAATCGAATGTTGAAAAAAATAAATAAAAAACTTTCTAAACAAAGAAAAATGTTGAATGTTGAACCAACTTGGCATCCGTATTCTACAAAATCCTTTTCATAAAGAAAACTCAGAATTGACGAATATGATGACGAGTTTTACAAACATACTCTAAAAGAATGTAAACGATATAAAGAATAGACTGATTTTATTATGAGATAACAACGATGATCGAAGTAGATGATCAGTCATTAGGAATCACCTGGATCTGGCAATCATTTCCCAGAGACGTTTGCTTGGGAAAACTTTTTGAAGTGATAAAAACAAGCCGCAGTGGCTATTTTGCTAGCGCCGGCAAAATAGTAAATTTGCCATTTTGCCGGCTCTATTGCAATTTTGATATCTGCTTTAAATTGATTTAAAATTTACATACTTATACAAAATTTCAGTAATTTGGTCTTCTCAAAATTTCCTTGGGCATGCAGTTTCGTGCTATAAATAAAAACTTTAACGAAGAACTGGTGTATGGACAGTTGAAACTTTGCTGTGTTCATGGTGAAAAAGAACACAAAACATCAGCTACAGGGCTATTTAATTGCAAAGGTTTTTTTTTCAAAAGAAACACGAGGAAAGATTATTGTATTATTATGGAATATTTAATAGAAGTTACATATATATGGTGGTCTAGTGAACTATGCAATATATTTAGGCTACTAATGGTTATGACCTTGCATTCCAAATTTTTTAAAGCAAAAAAGGGCCATAAATCTTGTTCGTTAAATTCAAAATTGTGAACTGTGTGCGAGTATAATACCAAAAGTACTGTAACTCAGATGCATGGAGATCTGCCAGTGTCTAAAATGTTCACTTGAAAGAACAAATAAATCCAATGTACTTTTGCAAAATGTGTGATGAGGATTCAGACTAGCTCGAAGGAACCTAGTGTTATGTGCAGCTCATGCCTAGAATGTCAACATTTGTCGTGTGGCCGATTAAAAAAAAAACCCAAGTCAAAGAACTCGTTTTGTTACAAATGTAAAGTTAATCTAACGTCTATGCACAATTTGAATGTACGTTACATCTAGAATTGTGATACATTCTGGTTCAATTTTACTGTTAATTTCCATCTTTGAGCGGTGTAGAAGTAGCAACTAGGCTTCATATATTTTTTTTAAACTAGTTTAAGTTACTTTTACAAAATTAAGTAAAACACGGCAATTTAAAATACACATGCTATAGTTTATAGATTGAAGTTAAATTCGTGATAATGAATTTGATAATGATTCATTCTTGCAAAATAATTCAGCATTTTTATTGTGACTTCTTTCTAAAGTTTCAATATTTTTTTGCTTGACAATGTTTTTAAAATAATTGTGTGTATTTTATGTATTGTGTATGTTAACTATATTAAAAGGAAATAATAATATTTCAATTCTTTCATGTTGATAATGCACACCAGTTTACAGTATCCAAAAGACACATTTAGGATCCATCAATTTTTTTTAGAGCCGACCAAGGATTTGTACACGTTGTATACAAATCCTTGAGCCGGCAAATTTGAAAACAAAACAGGGCAGGCTACCATTGGATGAGGACAACAATATCAAATTCCCGAAGAAGCAAGGCAAAACAAAATATTGTCCCAGTCATGGTTCCGTCATAGCAGCCTTACATGAAGTATGTCTTATCAGAGACACATATTAAGTAATATATTATATCAGAGACATATAATACAAATGTATTATATGTCTCTGATTATATATATCCCTGGTTTTATCTATAATTAGAACGAATGTGTTAAATATACCCTCAGTGTTTAAAGATGAAGATTAGAAGTCTTGTGACAAAGAAATATTAATATCTGGTAATTATATAAATATAATTTAAATATTGGAGTGTTGAATTGGTGCTACCCAACCAATTATCGTTGCATTTTTAAATAACAGTTTGCTAGGTTAGTGACTCCATGGAATTGTATATTTAGATATACAATTTAATTCCTTGGTTGCTTTTGGTACGTGCGAAGTTTATTTACAAAATTTGACATATACTTTTTCAATAAATAAATCTTTGAACAAAAATTAAACATTTTTTTCCAAGAAAAATAACCATTGTTAATTATTTAAGTGAGAAAACTGGTCCCAATTTTCTGAGTCTTATAATTATTGGCTCTCGAAATTATATATTCGAATGAAAAGACGAGTATGAACATTAGGTCTGAAATGAATAAATTAAAATTTTTGTTTGAAAAAGGCTTTAAACATGTTAAATGTTTTATTATTCTAATTTTTGTCCATATAATATCAAAATAATTCATGGTTCACGTTATTTATAAGTTGACAATTGAATATAATTTTTTTCATTCAATTTTCTGTTTATATCATTTAATAGTCTCATGGACTTGATATTTTTCCAATTTTTTCCAGGGGTCTCACAAATCATAATTTGATCTTCTTCTTCTTCTTTATAGTTCAGCACTCCATCAACATACTGATGATAACGTGCCGGGCACTGATGTCACTATGCCGCGCGTGCGTGGGATATATAATTTCTATATTTACAGTTAAATATATACAAATAAAAGTTCAAAGTAATTTTCTTTTTCTTCTGTTTTGTACTATACATTTTGGTTAAAACTATATACAGCGTAATATTAATTTAAATGTGTAGGTGTTTGTTGAGATCAGATATTGGGATCTGTTCTCGGAAACATTCTATAGTGTAGTACATTTTACTGCAGCTACAGGTAGAAGGTTTCATTGCAATATTGTTCTAGGATAAAATGAGTACTTGTATGAGTCTTTAGATGTTTGTATTGGTCTGTAGGAATGATTGTGTGGATTTTGTCTTGTTCTTGTGTCGGATTGGATGAGCAATTCTGTTGGATAAATAGCTACAAGATGGTGTATTATTTTATAGAAAAAGATGATGCGTGTTCTTATTTGCCTTTTTTCTAGGTTGTCCAGTTGAGAATTTGTAGCATTTCATTGACGGAGCTGGTGTTATGATATCTGTTGTAAGTGTACCTAGCTGCCCTGCGCTGGACCATTTCAAGTTGGTGGGTTTGAGATTTGGTATGAGGGTCCCAGACGCAGCTACTGTATTCAAGCTTAGGTCTGACCAGTGATGTATATGCTCTTTCTTTTACTGTTTTGGAATTGACCTTTAGATTTCTCTTGATAAAGTTTAGCTTTTGTGTGGCTGAAGCTGTAATATTATTAATATGTTCGTTCCATTTTAAGTCTGTTTGTATTGTTACGCCAAGATATTTTGTGGATTTTTCTTTTTGCAGTATATGATGGTGGAGAGTGTAATCAAAATTTATTGGGGTTTTCTTTGTTGTTATCTGAAGGATTGGGCACTTGTCTGGATGGAATGACATGAGCCAGTCCTTCTCCCATTTTGCTGCTGATGTTAGATCTTCTTGCAGTTTTTGAGTGTCTTCTTTGTTTCTTATTGTTTTATAAATTATGCTGTCATCTGCAAATAATCGTAAGGTGCTGTGTTTCATATATTCATGGAAGTCATTTATGTACACAAGGAACAGGATAGGACCCAAAACTGTGCCTTGGGGAACGCCAGATGTTACATTTATTTTGTCAGACTGTACACCATTAATAATGACTGTTTGTGTACGGGATGTAAGGAAATCTTCTATCCATTTTAAGGTGTTGTATTCAATGCCATAATATTTTAGTTTAGAGAGAAGTCTTTTGTGAGGAACTTTGTCAAATGCTTTGGCAAAGTCCATCACAATTATGTCAGTTTGGATGTTATTGTCGTTGTGTTTTGTAAGTTCTTGTATGAATGATACCAACTGAGTTTCACATGATCTTGATGCTCGAAATCCATGTTGAAGGTCGTATAAGATGTTATTATTTTCTAGATGATCCATCATACTACTGGCGATAATATGTTCCATGATTTTACAGAGTATGCAGGTGAGTGAAATAGGGTCTGTAATTTATTGCGTTGTGTTTATCGCCTTTTTTTAATACGGGACAAACATTTGCGTGTTTCCAATCGTCTGGGATTTTTCCTGTGTCTAGTGATTTCTGAAATATGTATGTTATTGCGGTTGAGATGTCATTACTTAACTCTTTTAGTACTTTTCCGCAGATTTGGTCTGGGCCAGTTGCTTTATTTGGGTTAATCTTGTTCAATAATTTGATGACACCGTCTTTTGAAATAGTGATGTTTTTCATATTTGGATATATATGATGAATCCCCCTTATCTCTGAAATTTGAAAAAAATAGGCAGGACAGGAGTTTTGAGTAAAAAAAAGGCAGGATGAGACACTTTGCTAAAAAAAAAGGTAGGATGACAATTTATGTAAAAAAAAAGTCAGGATAAACTCCCCCCCCCCCCCCCTAAAAATCAAATGGCAGCTCCCTTAGCTTTTTTATACTGGTTTGTTTTTCGGGTTATTTTCTTATTTCGTTTCAAAGATAGAGCACATTCTGCATAGACGATATCGTGGTCTGTATTTCCGATAGGGGGCATATAGTTGTCTGTATACATTAAACATATGCAGTTATTAGAGGTATCGTTCAGAGAGACTCTGGCTATCTCAGGCAATCTCAAATGTAATCTTTATTCTAGGTTTGATCTGAGACAAAATATACTATTCCCAGTCGTATGTGAGTCAAGCATGTATTCAGTTTTCTTGTCATTTTCAACAAGGATTTGTATATAGTGAGACCAAGGATTTGTATAGTGAGACTCACTATACAAATCCTTGGTGAGACATATCCTTGTATTCACTGAGAAACATCTTGGCATAGTTTAATTAAGTTTTTTACCAATTAATTATATTTTTTTATCTAATGATATAAAGATTTGTATAATACCAATTCTTGATCAATATTATTATTATTTGGTGGAACAAGGATTTGTATAGAATTTGGGAGGCGTTGATTTTCCGAATCCCCTCTGTGGTGTTTGTCCGTAACCGTAAATGAATTAGTATTTTACTTATACTTCCGGGAAAGTTGTGGAAAAAATGGAAAGAACATTGTCAAGCTGTTTTCACTCGTAAGAAATCATTACGCACTCTTTCATTCACATATTTGTTCTAAAACTACATCATTTTAATGTCATATTCAACATACTAGAGTTAAAAAATGTGGTCGACAACAGGAGTCGAAATTTTGTCCAACATGACATATGCGAAGTTCTTTTGGTTTTCGACTTCATCAGTTCAGGTGCTACATGTTCATCTAAAGGCATTTATGCATCGCCTATGTGTCAAGTGTTTAAATTTGATGGCATCTTTAAGTTCTAATAATGCCAATCAGTGTTTAGAAACTGTCTTTTGATAGTGCAGATTTTTCCTAAAAAATTATAAATGAATCCGGGTCTGTTCGCCCAAAATCACGTTCGCTCCCATTTTCGTTCACCCTCTTTCACGTTTGCACCCCACACTTTTGCTCCCATTTTCGTTCACCCTCTTTCACGTTCGCACCCCACACTTTTGCACCCTTGGCTTTCACATCCTTTATTCAGTTTTGTGTCGAATAAAATTGAGAATGGAAATGGGGAATGTGTCAAAGAGACAACAACCCAACCATAGAGCAGATGAATACTTTTGTATCTTGTTTTTCTTAGCATAGTATAATGCTTTAAAGTAAAGATAATATGATTTTATTGTTTTAAAATAAAGTAACATTCTTAAAATGTAAACAGTTTTCTTTTATTGTTTTGATGAAATGAAAAATGAAAATTGTCATGTTGATCAAAGGCAAAGTTCATTCATCTACATGAGTAAGACTTGTAAAAGAAAGGTGGAAGATATCAAATAGTCATCAAACTCGTGAAGCTTGAAGCAATCACAAACATCAACAGCTCACACAATCATTCAAAACATGCACTATTTGAAATCAAAAGGAGCACTAAAATATTAAGTAACTACACCAAAGCTAGTTACATGTATAATCATGATAATGACAATCATGATTTTAAAACTCATAAACAATAATACCAAATTAGCTTTGTAAATACCAAGTAACAGTAAATTAATCATAAATAATTAACATTTAATAATTAACCATCTAATCACCAAAAAAAAATAATTCATTATAAAAATTCACGAAATTTTCTTCATGAAAATATAAATGTTTTGATATATATACATGTATATACATCTTACATCTAATAATTAAACAGTTTTCAGAATACAAATTTGGAGCAAATGTGTAGGGTGCGAACGAACTCAGGAGACGAACATGTGGAGTGCGTACATGTAGGGTGGGAACTACTCGATACCAAATTCAATGTCTGAAATATACATCAGTGTCTGATGGACATTATGGTGTTTATAAATACAAGCTGTATTTGTACACATCTGTTCTAGTGTATGATATGTATAGTTGTTAGTTATGTGTTTCATGTTAATTGATACTAATCCCAAAATATACCAGACAAATGAATAAATAGGTTGAGAAAATCCTCTTAAATAGGTACGTACTATCCCCATTTATGGGAATTCTACTTCTAGTCACTTTGGCACCTGGTTTAATCTTCACCTAGTATAGTCAATTCTATACCTAGTTAAATCAGGACCAGGTTGATAAAATGACCTTTGAAATTGTAAGTAAAAATGCAAAAAAATATATTAAAAAAACAATTATGTGTCCATAGTACACGGATACCCCACTCGCACAATCATTTTCTATGTTCAGTGGACCGTGAAATTGGGGTAAAAAAACTAATTTGGCATTAAAATTAGAAAGATCATATCATAGGGAACATGTGTACTAAGTTTCAAGTTGATTGGATTTCAACTTCATCAAAAACTACCTTGACCAAAAACTTTAACCTGAAGCGGGACAGACGGACGAACATCTCAGTGACCAAAAAACATAATGCCCCTCTACTATCATAAGTGGGGCATAAAAAAAACTATGTTCCCAATTCCTAAAAAAAGAATATATCACTGTAGGTACAGAATTGACTAACCAAAGGCCGAAATGAATTTTAGTAGGTGCTGATTTGACTTGTACCCATTTAAGGGCATTATGACCAAAATCAGGTACATGTATCAATTTATAGTGATAAAAAATCGAATTGTGGCACAAATATTCATATAAATCATAATGGCAACTTTTCCCCTTTAATATAAAACTAAAAAGATGTGTTATGATTGCCAATGAGACAACTCTCCACCAGAGACCAAATGACATAGAAATAAACAACGATAGGTCACCATAGGCCTTCAACAATGAGCAAAACCCATATGGCGTAGTCAGCTATAAATGGAACGAAATGACAACTGTAAAACAATTCAAACGAGAGAACTAAGACCATATTTCAAATGAGAACTGAATACAAAGTTATAATGGCCTCCAAAAATCCTACTTTTTTAAGGCTATTAACTTTTATACAGATGACATTTCAGTCATGGTGTCTGCAGTCTACACAATAGACTTTTGAATCTAAAGGCCTAAACTGAAGTTTAAGAAAAATTTAGTTAGATTATATTGGCCTGTGGAGATGATTTTTACAGGTCCCACAGAAGTTTTACAAGCAAATGCATGCATCTTGAAATCCAAAGTTGACATTTTGATCAATGAAAATTGATATCTGTTTTGGGGTATAATATATATATATATATACCCATTTATGAGGATCTTCTCCAACCTGATAAACCAAACATATGTCAAAATGTAAAGAAACAAAACATAGTTATTTAAAAATATAGACAGGATTTTCCAATTATCTGCCTTAGTTTGTGACGTGACTCCTAGGCGTCCTCATAGTAGTAATCGCCATTACAACCGTGAACAAAATGTAAACAAGATATATACATCTATTTCCCAGACCACATATAATTACCGTAAACACAAGAATGTGAAGCGTACTTGACCTCGGCAAAATTGGAGAATAAATAATAAAGTAATTAGATAAGAAGTGGACATTAAAATTATAAGTGTATTGAAGGCCAGGTGTCGTGTCCTTAAAATATAACTCACAGTATTTGATACGTTACACCCGGGACATAATATATACGAATTCTAATTCCAGGTTAAATATCGATTATAATCATTTGGTAATCATAATATTGATTATTATAACCATGATAACACATACTTAAATACATTAAATTCAGGGTTCGACACTAACGCTAGTCCGCTAGCCAGAGGCTAGTAAAAATTAGGGAAGGCTAGTAAAGTTTTCATCACAGTAGTCCGACGGGCTAGTCAAAATTTTGTTTTAAACTAGAAATTTCACAAAATTTTAATTGTCAACAAATCCCAGATTTTTTGCTGACCTTTGCTGTCTTTATTGTGATGATTGTACAGTTTATTCACGTATTTTTTTATTGTCAGACATTTTTAACATGAAAGGTACTTTTTGGGGAGGGGAAAGAAATGGAAACAATGATGGTACTTAATACATTGAATTAACCATGTGTGTTACAAATCAAAATCAAATCAAATCAAAATATTTATTATTCCAATCATGGTCCCACAGGGGGCATTTACAATTAACAATTATGATAGTAGAAGCAACAAACATGAGACATTATACAGTATATAACGTGACAGATATTATAATAGACAATGAAAATAGTATTAATAACAAAAATACATTAAAAGTACTCTTGAGAATTTTTTTTTTTCCTTCCTTATGTCCAGCAGTGTAAAAATCAAAAAAAAAGTATTAATAATAAAGTTTGATCAACCTTAACTTATTATCTATAAAAATGGAAATTTGTTCATCTGCAGGAGAAACCAAGGGACGGTGCTCTAGGATATACTGTTGATTGCGATAGGCAATAACAGCAATCCTCCCCGTGTCAGAAGCAGATGAACAAAATAAATAGAGAAACTGAATCCGGTCAATTAACAAATAATTATTATTATTTTTTATTTTTTTTTTTAAATAACCAACAATTATTAATTATGCGAAACATGTCATATAAATCTGCTATTTGCAGTGTTTAACCAGGAATATACACAACTCTTTTAATACAGTTAAGTTCTCACAAGACAACAGCCATAGCAATTTCTCTTGGGAATTTAAGTTAATGAAATTGTGACATGATTCCGAAATAATGTGATATAAATGGTGTCTGTCTTCGTTATATTTTGTGCAATAAAAGAGAAAATGAACTTCATCTTCAATATTACCAGAGTTACACTGCTGACATAGTCTAAGGTGTGGAGGACTACCCTGGTATCGTCCTATTTCAATCTGCAAATGGTGAGATGACACCTTAAATTTTGTTAATGATCTCCTAAGTTCAAAATTGGACATGATATTTAGATATTTTTCGAAACCAAAATTATTCTTAAATTTTACATAAGTGCGGAGCTTCCCTTCTGAATTCTTGGTCAGTTGATCCTTCCAAATTTTTATGCATGTCTCTTTCAATATTTTCTTGATGGTATTTTTTGAAATATTTTTCCCATCATTTAGGTTTGCAAACCCAGGAAGAGTTTTTAAAATTTGTTGGAGAGAGCCATACCATGACAATTTATGCTGAGAAAATAAAGTTTTGAATGCTGGTATGCATCTTTTAATAAAGGAAATGAGTCTAAATTTTCTAGTCTAAGCCAATAATTCAAAATAGATTTGACTAAGTCAAAGTACAGTGGAAACCGACCAAGTTCAGATAAGGCTGCAAAATTTGTGGTTTTTTTGTGCACACCCAGAATAAATTTACAAAATTTACTGTGTAGCTTTTCACAAGTTAAATTCGAATAAATTTTATCTAATGTTAACTGGTTTCCAGATCTAAATTTTGTTATAAAGGGATTAAATGAGCTCCAAATTTCACTTCCATAAAGAAGAATAGGCTTAATCATGTTAATAGTATGATCAAAAACGTGTATACTAGTTTTTAAGCTAGGATTTAGAGATAATAAATCTTTTCTAAGTTTAAAATATGCTTTTAAAGCTTTCTTGTATAATTCATTCTGAGCATAGGAGAATGTACCTGAAGCACTAAAATACACACCTAGATATTTACAATGTTGTACACATTCTATATCATATTCTTTGTATTTAAATTTGAGGCGGATATGTCTGCC